CCAGCAGATATCATGACAAAGGCGGTTACCCAAGAGAAATTCGAAAAATTCAAGGAGCTACTCTGAATTGCAAATTAAGAGGGGGTGTCAAATGGTAATTTGCAACTATCACCCTTAAATTATGCCCACTACTATCACATCCAAGAGACAACCCATTTGCAGGAACATCTCATTACTTGCAAGGAAGAAATAAATAGATGAATTATTGGTCAATTATAAAGCCTCGTCACAGGTCACAGCAGATTGATAGAAGACAAGGCAAGTGAGAAATAATGCATACATGGGCCACGTTCTTCTTTATTAGTGTTTAAGCATATCCATTCCAAGCACATGCATTCTTTGCATGGTGGGTGAATGAGAACCATGTGTTAATTTAATGTTATGTTTTCTTTATCATCACATATATATATACTAGCAAAGACCCGCTCGCTACGCTTCGCGATTAAGTGAAAACTGTAATAACAGTTGAGATATAAATAAAATACTTCATTTCCATTATTAATGGCTTCCTTCTTCATTTTGATAAACTGTAATAACAGTTGAGATAAGAAAAGCTAATTAAGTAGTAAATACAATCTAAAAAGCAAGCACTTATACGAACGAAAAACCTGAAAGCAAACAAAATAGTAATTTGTCCAGTGAGTTGGCACCTATATCTGGTGATACAAGGGACATAATAGTTTGCAGGCCAGCATGTTTTGTTAAAACAAAAGAAACTGAAAAGGAAAAATGAGTTATAAGGGAACAGGCATGCTTCAGTGATAAACTAAACAAAGAGATTGACATGGATATGTTGCCGTGAGAAGCAATGGAACATAAGTTAAAAGAACATAAGTTTTTGGTATGCGAACACACATCATCGGTATATGTGTATGCTTGTTACCGGGAGAAGCAATGGAAGCTTGGGCCGTGCTCTTTTCAATTCAAGGGCATGTCCATTGGAAAGGAACAATGAACAGATATTTTTTCTTACATTTATAGTTATCCTGGAAATTGATACACTTCCGGTAGAATTACTTTACATCAAAGGCCGCCTGAACCACACAAATGCATACCTTGATTGCAAGACCATATGTCTGAATGAGCCTACCCTCCTAATAGAAACACTTCATACGAAGTCCAAGTCCCAAATTGATGCTACCTGCTGTAAGACTGTAGCCAATATCCTTGTCCCAAGGCATAACCTAACTATCATAGTCTAGCATGACGTCCAAAGGTATGCTACACAGGTAAAAGACAGTAATAATGTCATAATGACCATATATTATGTATGCAAGTAGCAAACTCTTTAATCGGAAGTCAAAACAAACATGAAACACCCAAGTCTTTCTGAATATATTTTGGAACTTAAGAGTAATCAATCTATGCTTTGATTTCCATAAGTTCAGTTCCAGAAACAAACTAAAAGCAGGTGACAACAATTTGGTTGAGAAGTTACAAATGAAAGCAGGTCCTCAATGCTCGGAAAACAATCTTGTAAATTCTACTCTGTCTTTCATTGTTCTCCCATTTTTCAGTTTCCCTGCTAAACTCCCACTTTAAAAATTTAGTAAGTGAGTAAGCAAAAAACATTCATAAACATAACTTTTGTACATCATTTAAGGTCTGTGGTTAAGTTTCAGTTGTATTGAGAGAGCAAAGCAAGTTATTGGAGACAAAAGAAATTCATAAACAAAAGAAGCAAGCATCCAATTTGATCTGGTTACTTCCTATAGACTACTAACCATTCGGACTTAGTATTCAAGAAAGGTATCATTTTACACACCTTAGAGCTTGAATGGATGGGGGGGGGGGGGAATTTGAGACCCAACACATCTAGTATATCTATCCCATGTTGAAGGAGACTATCGTGGTTTTCGCTGTAAAAAACATGTTTAATAAGTAAGTCCAGTTTGGGGAATTTATTGCGAAACCTGCAAACATCTCATTTGTTCATTTAAATGTTCAAGATTCTTGATTTGTCAAGCAATCAACACAGTTCCATTTTGAAAGGTAACAAAAGTTGTGGCAGATAATAATTAGTTCTGATTAACTTAATCTTCAGAAGGCATAATGGAAGCTGATGTTGCTGATGACAATAGTGTTGCAGAATCCCAAGATGCTACTTGATACAAAGGGTCAATCTATTCATAAGAGTTTCATCCAGTGCTTCTCAATAAACAACTACATTGAAAAAAGTAAAAGCAAATAAAGAAGCAACACTATAGTGTAGAATAAGTTGGCTAACTACCACAAAAGAAATAATCATGACTGACAGCTGTGCAAAGCAGACTTTAGTTTCTGAGGCTTCATGTTCCTGTATTTTGAAATGGTATTAGCACAAGTCACAACAACAACAAAATAATTTTGCTGCAAGAGGTAGTGTAGGAGATGATTACCGAACTAAATTTTAAAGTCATATTGTGGATTTGCGTAGCAAGATCTGGCTCTCAAATCTCAATGGCTGTTGGATCAGGTGCAACAGCTGTAAACAAATTGAGAAAATCCTACAGAATGGAATGTTATCTAACAGAGAAGTTAGGAAAAAACCTGTAAGTAGCTAGAGATACGGAGGAAGATGCACCAGTAAGCGAATCAAATGTTTCTTTGTAAACAATGATTCTTGTGTAACCTACAGGAATGTGGTGTTCGTTTTGAATGAGACATTTAAGGGCTTCTGAAGACCGCCCCCTCGAGACAACAACATACAATTGTTCAGTAGGATACTCACGCTCAAGTCTGGCACAATCTTGTTGATTTCAGTGACATTCTTGTTTGTTGGCTGGGCATCCAGTCAGCAGGTTGTTCTGGATTGAAGCATTTTCCAGTAATCTGACCATTTCCAACAGCCAGTGTCCAATTAGTAAAATTCATGGCATCAAATGTTGTTTCTTGGTTAGAGATTGTTGAATGGACATGCATATTTCTTGACAGGTCCAGTACAACATAATACTTCCAATGATATGAGCGTGTAACCGATTGGAAATGACAAAAGTGCAAGGCAAAAAGGTTGAACATGGCAGTGCCCATTTTCAGAACCGAGTATCAAAGTATAATAAGAACCAACAGGTCGGGAAGTGGTCTAAGAATGTAACGATTATCACAAGCGAAAGACTAAGGATCACTTAACACTGTTCCAACCTACATGGCAGTGTCCCAAACTTTCAAGGTACAAACTGCAATTCAATTGGGTAATGAAAAAAATGATGCCTAAATGAAAGGAAAACTCAGTTGGCTGTCTGCAAAGCAAACAACAACCAAGCTAAGCAAGGAACCCAAGTGTTGAGTCAAAATGGAAGAGGAACAACATGTTACCTCTCATCTTCAAGGACTAGCTCTGTCCAGTTGTCTTGCCATGGTTGGTCTTAGAGTAAGTGATACTTGAAATGATAACGACCCTGTCAATGAAATGTGAAGAAAAAGTGTTAAAAGCCAAAAGGAAAAAACTCAAAGGATTTAGTCCAAAAGTCCGGACATGTGTCGGTGTGGTCATCAAAAGTAGTCTAGGAGCTCGGTGAAATGGCCGGAAAGGGCGGCAGATGCCTGGCCATTGGTCAAATTTCCCTGCAGCATGGGAAGATTATGTTTCAGATTGAATATGAATTGAATAGGAAAGGGGCGAAGGGAAAGTAAGACCGGGAGCTCACCATTTGGCCGCACCAGATTGTGCCGTAGTTGAATATCTTGTCCGGGTTCGAAAGAGCATAGGAGTTCCATGTGTGCAAGAGTCTAAGCTTAAGCTGGATAGCACTATCGGTGTCGATAATAGCAAGAAGCATCTTATACGCAGTTCACCGCGGTTGAGGTCACCGTGTTTATGGCGGCGCGAACTGGTGTGGGGCATCGCTGAACATGGAAAGGGAGAAGGCAAGAGATTTTGAAATCGCACAACAAACAGATAAGGAGCGCAGCAGAATAGAGGAAAGGGAAAGTAATTATCACCGGAGCAAGCTAAGTAGGTGAAGAGGAGCAGAGGGTATTTCTTCTGAAGAACGTCGATGGCAAGAGAAAAGGGGATTCTGCTGCCAATGGGTAGCCAACACAGGGAAAAAATTTGATGGGTGAATCAAAGGGGCCGATGTGAAGTCGCACCTTAGCCATGCCGCGTTCCGATTCCCGAGCGATCAAACGTCTTAGCCGTATGGGTGGCATGAAGAAGGGAGCAGCAGGAAGAGGACAGTCGGCCGTCCCGAGGCTGAGAAGTCAGGACAAAGGGAGAGCTAGGAGAGTTTGCGTGTCAAAGGAGAGGAGAGGCGAGAAAGGTTGACGATTAACTGGCGGGTAATAGGAAAGTACATGGGTTCTTTCCGCGCGAGTGGGGTAACCAGGTGAGCAAAGCGTTGCTGTGAGGAGGGGAAGAGAAACATGGTCGAATTAGGGATAAACGAGTGGCAAAGGCCCAGTCGCAGATAAGCGTTTGGGGCCCACTAATGAACAGTTATGTAACCAAGGCTTTTATATATGAATATATATGTTGCAAGTATGGGAGAAGGAGTAGTGTCAAAGAGTTTGTAAACAAAACCAAAAAGGAAAGAAGCAAAGTTAATACAATAGCCAAAAGTATAAGGCATTGTTTGGTTGTGTGTTTTCTAAATTGAGTGATTAAACACTAAATATTTCCTTTGTGTTGATACTAAATCATACCACATTTCCGCTAATCCCCAACAGCTACTAAGTTTAACTGTGCCAGCGTAATGAACTATTACTAGATTGTTGATATAATGAAAAAGCATCTTTGGTGATTGGTGTTCATGTGTCTGATTTCGATTGCAATTTCCATTTGGGTCTCATTAGTTTTCTGTCCTTTTACAGCCTTGAGCAGGACCCAGTGGCAATGGCTACTGTACCCCAATTGGGGTTTTGAACAACTCAAATGCGGAACCCATCAATCAATTTTTTAAGTCTACTAGTCGACAAAGGCAGATAGGGTGATGCTTACTGTTAAATGGTACTTGGAACGCCTTATGTTTCTTATCCTTTTTCCTGTCTCTGTTTCGACCGTTTCTCTGATTTTTGTAAGCATGGATCCGGTTGAGTGCCATCGATCGGCGGCTGAGTTGTTACAAGCTCAAACTCACATCTACAACCACACCTTTAGCTTTATCAACTCGATGGCACTCAAGTCTGCTGTTGAGCTTGGAATCGCCGACGTTATCCACACCCACGGCAAACCCATCACCCTTGCTGAACTCGTTGCCGCGCTCAACATTGGGACAACCAAGACGGCTTACGTGTATCGCCTGATGCGGGTGCTCGTCCACTCTGGTTTCTTCCGAGTAGTGGAAGAAGCTTACGTGTTAACACCATCTTCGAAATTGCTGGTCAAGGACGATCCGAACTGCTTGTCTACCATGGTGAAGATGCTGACTCAACCTGAGTTCCTAACTCTGAGTCACGTCTTGAAAGATTGGATGAAGGATGGCCAGGTTTCTTCCAGTACTACAGCATTTGAGAAAGCACATGGAATGGCGTTTTGGGAGTATGCCAATGGAAAACTTGAATTCAATGCCCTTTTCAATGAAGCCATGGATTGTGATTCTGCCATGATGAACTTGACTGTGAGAGTTTGTGGAGTGGTTTTCCAAGGAATTGATTCTTTGGTTGATGTTGGTGGAGGGACAGGGACATTTGGCAGGATATTAACAGAGGCTTTTCCTGGTATGAAATGTAAGGTTCTTGAGCTTCCTCAAGTTATTGATCACTTGACTGGTACCTCAGGGAGCTTGGAGTTTGTTCAAGGAGATATGTTTCAACATGTCCCTTCTGCCCACGCCGTCTTGCTCAAGGTACGTAATATGCCTTCTCCGATCATTCAATTTTTACCAAGATTTCACATGGTATCAGAGCCTGGTTGGGCTTTCTAGGGTTTCTACACCCTCTTCATACCTACATTCTTTGGTTACAGTAGTGTTCATCCACAATGGCTACTGATTCCTCTTCTTCTTCTTCTTCTGTTTCTGCTGCTACCTCTGGTGTTCTTACCAACCTGAGTACCGTCACAAACCCTTACTATATCAACCCAAATGAGTCGTTAGTCTTTCCAATCAAACTCACAGGTACTGGAAATTACAACTTATGGAGCAGAACTGTTCGTGTTGCCCTCAAGAGCAAAAACAAGCTTGGGTTTATCAATGGGTCGATTACTGCACCAGATCCATCTTCAGAGACTTATGCCGCCTGGGAGCAAAGCAACACAGCAGTATACTTCATGATTCTGGGTTCCCTGGATCCAAGTTTGGTTGATTCTGTCTCTTCACAAGACAACGCGAGACTCTTATGGGAAGATCTGAGGCAACGTTTTGGACAGGCAGACAACATCAGAATCACAGATCTGCAAACTGCTATCTATACTCTTAAAGCAAGGTAACAAATCTGTTAACCAATTTTACTCAGAGCTGAAAGGGTTTTGGGAAGAACTTGTGCAATTTCTTCCTATACCCAGTTGTGAGTGTGGAGGTCTTGCAAGAAACCCAGCTATTCCTTGTGTCACTGAGGCTACAGTGAAGAAGTATAGAGAGAATGAATTCGTTACTAGATTTATTACTGGTTTGAATGATGCTTATGGTGGTGTTCGAACCAATCTATTCATGATGCAACCACTCCCATCTATGGAGGTTGCTTTTCATTATGCTATACAGCATGAAAGACAAGTTGCTAAACCTAACCCTGAGTCACAAGTAGATACTGTTGCCCTGCTTGCTGCAAATCAGAATAGGGGTAAAGAGAATGTGAAGGAAGGATTGTTTTGCCGATATTGTAAGAAGGAAGGACATGTTATAGCTGATTGCTATAGGCTGAAAAGGAAGAACAGAGAATCAGGGGGAACTTCTAGGTTTGCAGGACAAATTCAAGGACAAGACACTGTTGGAGCTGGTATTATGCCCAAACCTGAAACTAAGAGTGTGCCTGAAGGCAATGATGGGTACACCAACATCAGGCTCTCCAATGATGATCTAAGTCTTCTGCAAAAGCTGCTCAACCAGTACAGTCCCCCAGCATCTCCAACCTCTCCTGTTGCTACTAGTGGATCAAACCTGGCTTCAGTCAATCAGCAATCAACTCCTATGGTCAACTCACTGAGTAGGCACCTATCTGTGAACCCTAATTTCTCAGGTAAATTCACTTTAAATTCATACTTCCTTAAGCATCCAATGGAATTTGTCAGTGTTTGGTTTCTTGACACGGGTGCCACTGATCATGTCACCTGTTCTGTTTCCAATTTCCTTAAGTATAAACCAGTCCAAGGTATCCTCATAACCTTACCTGATGGATCTAGAACTCCTGCTACACATTGTGGTAGTGTTAGACTTACATCTGAACTGGTCATTCATGATGTATTGTTAGTTCCAGCCTTTTCTTTCAACCTAGTCTCGGTTAGTAAGCTCACTAAGTCCATGCCAGTCTTTCTCACGTTTGAGTCCAACATTTGTCACATCCAGGACCTTCAAACCAAGAGGAGGATTGGTTTTGCCCAAGAGACTAGAGGACTTTATCGACTTACTATACATCCAGAAGACACTACCACTCTTGTTAATTCCATCAAGACTCAAAACTTGTCACCCCAATCATTTGATCTATGGCATTGGAGGCTTGGTCATCCTTCAATTTTTCGAGCCAAAGAACTACAGAAGACTATACCAGACATTTCTATAGGATCCTTTTCTCATTATGATGTTTGTCACCTTTCCAAACAGAAACATTTACCATTTTCTTCAAGCCAAAATGTGGCAAAGAGCAATTTTGAACTTGTTCATGTAGATATTTGGGGGCCTTTGGCCACTGCCAGTTACAATGGATATCAGTACTTTCTTACCCTTGTTGATGATAGATCTAGATGTGTTTGGATTTATCTCATGAAACATAAAACTGAGGCTAGACAGTTATTGCAAGATTTCTGCGTTCTGGTTAGCACTCAATATAACCAACACATCAAAATCATCAGATCAGACCAAGGTGCTGAGTTCCATATCCCTGATTTCTACTCTCAACATGGCATCATTCATCAGATGTCATGTGTTGCCACTCCACAACAGAACTCTAGAGTAGAAAGGAAACACCAACATATCCTAAATGTTGCTAGAGCTCTAAAATTCCAGTCTGGCTTACCTCTTAAATTCTGGTCAGATTTTGTCCTTCATGCAGTTTACTTGATAAACAGATTACCCACAGTGGCTTTACAAAACAAAACACCCTATGAACAACTATATGGCACTCCTCCTGACCTATCCAACCTAAAGGTTTTTGGGTGTTTGTGCTATGCTAGCACATTGACACATAACAGAACCAAATTTTCACCTAGAGCTAAACCTTGTGTTTTTCTAGGATATCCACCTGGAATCAAGGGTTATCATTTATATGACCTTACAGATCAGAAGGTGTTCTTCTCTAGGCATGTGATTTTCCATGAAAACATAATCCCTTGTCTCCCTCTTCCTTCTTCTGATCCTTCTCCTTCACCTAATGGAAATTCCCATGTCCCTCAAACTTCAACATCACCAGACTATTTTCCTCTCTTTTCTCCAGATAACCCATTTCCACCTACAAACAACTTACCTCCTTCTTCTTCTAGTCCACAAAATCCAGAACCAGAACCTATACCAGATCTTGTATCTCCATTTCCTTCTCCACAAATTACCACTCCTACCACCTCTACTGATCCCAGTTCAGAACAGACCACTTTCCCTTCTTCTTCTCCATCTCTTCCTATAGCCCTGCGCAAACAACCAAGACACACAGTTCCACCTGTCAAATATCAGGATTATGTCCTGAATGTCAAGACCAACACTGACAAACATTCAAATACATTGGTTGCTTGCATTTCCTTTGATAATTTATCTCTGGACTATAGGAAGTATGTCTGTGCTGTGGATTCTACCTTGTTACCTAGATCCTTTGAGGAGGCTATGCAAGATGAAAGGTGGAGACAGGCAATGAATGAGGAGATTAGAGCTCTTGTGGCTAATGGAACCTGGGATTTGGTTCATTGCCCCACTGGGAAAAGACCAATTGGCTGTAGATGGGTGTTCACCATCAAGTATAATTCAGATGGAACAGTTGAGAGATATAAAGCTAGGCTTGTTGCCAAGGGCTTTACTCAAATCTATGGAGTTGATTTCTTGGACACATACTCTCCTGTTGCCAAGTTGAATTCTGTCAAAACTCTTTTGGCCATTGCAGTTGCTAAAAATTGGTCAATGAACCAGCTGGATGTTAGTAATGCATTTCTACATGGGGATCTGGATGAGGAAGTGTATATGGATTTACCACCAGGTCTGTCTCAAGATGGATTTGTTTGTCGTTTGAAGAAGTCCCTTTATGGTTTAAAACAGGCTTCTCGTCAATGGTTTTCTAAATTGACTACAGCCTTGATCAGTTTTGGTTATGTTCAATCTCAAAGTGATCATTCCCTTTTCATTCATCATGGAGATCAGGGCACTTCTGTTTTATTGGTGTATGTCGATGATATCATCATTGCTGGGGATGATGATCAAGGCATGACAGATCTTAAGGCGTTCTTGCAATCCCAGTTCAAGATTCGTGATCTAGGCAATCTTCATTACTTCCTTGGTTTAGAGATTGCTAGATCACAGGGGGGGTTTGCATATATGCCAGCGCAAGTATTGTACTGATCTCTTACAAGACACTGGTTTTGCTGATAGCAAACCAGTAGTAACTCCAATTGATATGAAGACCTATCTAACTGCTGATGATGGACCATTGCTTGCTGATTCGACTATGTACAGGAAGATTGTTGGCAGACTTCACTACCTCACCATCACACGACCGGAAATCACCTTCGCTGTACAACAACTTTGTCAATTTCAAGCTGCTCCAACTTCATCTCATCTCAAATTGGCACACAAAATACTCAAATACTTGAAGAATGAACCAGGACAAGGTTTATTTTACCCATCTCAATCCAACCTTCTCTTACAGGGATATTGTGATTCTGATTGGGCATCTTGCCCAGATTCGAGGAGGTCTACTACAGGGTATTGCATTACACTTGGGAAATCATTGATCATCTGGAAATCGAAGAAACAGGGAACTGTTTCCAGGTCTTCCTCTGAAGCTGAGTACAGAGCTCTTGCTCAGTTAACCTGCGAAGTTGTTTGGGTTAAGCGGCTGATACAAGAACTGAACATCCAACATCCTCAACCTGTGCAGCTGTTCTGTGACACTCGATCTGCGATTTACATTGCAGAAAATCCCGTCTTCCATGAGAGGACGAAACATATCGAAATCGATTGTCACGTTGTTCGACAGTTTCTTCAATCCAAGCTCATTAAGCTGAGTCATCTAGATACAGAAAATCAGATTGCTGATTTATTCACAAAAGGACTCAGCCGACATCGACTCCAGTTTCTGATGTCCAAGCTGAACATACACAATCTGTATGCATCAGCTTGAGGGAGGCTATTACGATCTGCAGAGCTGGAAGTCGAAGGTTGAAGAAGCTGTCCATGGTGGTTGCTGACTGAGCTCGTGGTGCGGCGTCGTTTTCCTCGGAAGCAATAGAGGAGCTGAGTTAAGACGACATCGTCTCACTTAAGCAACTACCGTTTCCAATTATACTGTAGATAGCTAGCTGTCATCCGGTTATTGGTAGTTAGTTTAATTTTCTGTTTTAGTTACCGTTAACAGAGTTTTGGATGTATAGCTTTACCTTTTCTTCTTCAGTATATAAAAGGCCCTCTGAGGCACCCAAAACCCTTGCGGGTTTCACACCAACCTTATCTTTTACCAAGATTTCACACATGTCGTTTTTAATGATCTGTTATGGATTATGTTACTAATTAAGAAAGCAGATTATGCTCTTTGAATAACCTGTTATCGTAATTAAACAAACAAAAGCATCAAGTTTTAATACATAGATCATTATCCGGATAATTTGTGATGTTTGGAGGAATCGGGAAACTCTGAAAATTTTCAGCATTGCGGCACCTCCCAATTGTGCTGTTGTTTTTGATTGCTTGTGGTGGGTTTGAATTGAATGCTGGTACAGACGATTTTGCACGATTGGGATGATGAAGAGTGTGTTAAGATCCTGAAGAAATGCAAGGAAGCAATTTTGAGCAGAGGGGAGGGAGGGAAGGTGATAATCATTGACATTGTGATGAACGAGAAGAAGGATGAACATGAATTGGCTGGAACGAAGCTCTTGTATGACTTGTTGATGATGTTGGTGGTTAATGGGAAGGAGAGGAGCGAAAAAGAATGGGAGAGGCTCTTCTTGGAAGCTGGTTTCAAGCACTACAAGATCACTGCTTTGGTTGGCCTTAGGTCGCTTATTGAAGTTTTTCCTTAAAAGAGAAAAGCCATTTATTTATAATTGTGTGTTCTATTAAGGTGTAGACTTATTGATTACTTGTTTTTCGGTTGAGTAAAAAGAAATTATGCATGATGGATCATGGTTGATAAAGGCGATTGTATAGGGTAACATTTAGGCATATCTTACATTGATAAAATATCAGAGATCAATGATTTATAAGAAAATTCAACTTTAATTGACAAGACATAGTTTGAGGTGAAACGGATGAGTTCTTGTCAGACTATAAAATTAAAGATTGTTTACCTCCCAGAAGTCATCATAATGCGCTGGAAAAAAAACAACACAAACGGATATATTCGTTAACTTGTTTTTGGGTTGGTAAGAGATTGTGCTTAATCGCTTGGGAAGAAGAAAAAAAACAACTATGTTTTTGGGTTGGTGAGAGATTGTGCTTATTCTCTTATGGTCGGGTTATTTTTATTATTATTATTATTATTATTAATTTTAAATCATTATTAATTTTTAACTTTATGTTGGTTATATTTTTGAAGTGAAAATAGTAAAAATTAGAGGTAACGTATAAAGTTTATAATTTTATTATAATAATTAACATAACTAATAAAGTTTAGTGGATGTGCCTACGGTGACATGCATGTCACGGTGACTTGCACTTTCCGGTCGACCTCAGTTAGAATTAGGTCGACCACATTTAGAATTCGGTCGACCTCATATAGGATCTGGTCAACCTCATTTAGGATTCGGTCGACCTCATATAGGATCAGGTCGACCTAATCTGTTGTTTCAGTGTAAAAACAGTTCATGGTGCCTACTTTGGATATTCATATCATACAATTGGCTAGATGGAAATTGAAGACTAATGACTTGTTTTGAAGCTGGGGTGTCCCTCTACATATTGAAGTGATTGAGAGCTCGATAAGAAGTCCAGAAGACCATTTTTGAACCTCATCAAAAGGCTATGCCAAAACTGGGAAACTGCCTGAAAATGGTTAACTCTGGAAACGTGTTTGTGAAGCCTATTTTGGAGCTCAATTAGAGAAGCATGAATGTGAGTCGAGTCCAGGAGCCTCTACCACGTTAAATTGGGTATTTTTTTATACAAATTCAAGGCATTGGATGAAAGATTGGATATCTGTAAGACTTCAAACAAAAGGGTCGAAGTTGCTACGAAGGCTGTTTTTCTGGCAGACTTCGAGCACAAGCAAGCTGCCAGAAAAACAGCCTTCGTAGCAACTTCGAGCCTTTTGTTTGAAGCCTTAAAGATATTCAATCTTTAATCCAATGTCTTTCCTTTGTATAAAAAAAATACGTAATTTAACGTGGTAGAGGCCCTTGGACTTGACTCGCATCCATGCTTCTCAAATTGAGCTCCAAAGTAGGCTTGACAAACACGTTGCCAGACTTAGCCATTTTCAGGCAGTTTCCCTGTTTTGGCATAGCCTTTTGGTCAGGTTCAAAAGTGGTCTTCTAGACTTTCTATTGAGCTCCCAAGTACTTTAATGTGTAGAGGGACACTTCAGCTTCAAAACAAGCCTTTAATCTCCAATTTCCAAATAGCCAATTGTAAGATATGAATCTCCAAAGTAGACACCATGAAACTGTTTTTACACTGAAACAACATATTAGGTCGACCTAATCCTATATGAGGTCGACCGAAAAGTGCATGTCACCGTGACATGCATGTCACCGTAGCAATCCTAAAGTTTATCTTATGAATTTTGCAATTAATATCATCGATTAAAGTTTAACTTACTCGTTGGAAGTTAAAAATTATAATAATTTGAGACCTAGAGGTTGTGTGTTCCAGTCCTAATAATGAGAATGCATGGGAATTTATAAAATTTGAAATGATGAAATCTAATTTGAAAAAAGGACTAAATTACATATATCTTTCATGTTTGGCACTCGAATTATTTTTTCGTTCTTATCACTCATTAATCGTTTCATTGTTAATTTTTTTCTATCTGGCAGTCAACTATAAAGTTTGACCATTAAATAGATGACGTGGAAATTAAAATAAACTTATTATCCCACCTCATCATTCCACCTATCATATTGCTTATTTAATAAAAATTAATAAATTACAAAAATAAATTATCAGCGGTGGAAGAAATTGCAGATGCAATAGTGGTTCCATTGTCTGTCTTCGCCAGAGTAGAAGCAATAGTTGGGAGGCGAAAAAAACGAGGCAGAGGACCCGGCGATGAAACACTGGTGTTGAGATCTAGCTCGCGATGTTCTGCAACTACCTAGATTTGGAAAAATCGTCGCTTTGCCTCGACATTTTCCGACTTGGCAACCAAAGAAACTCAAAGGACAATACCTGGGAAGATGCAGAGATATCTCCTAAAGCATCGGCGCCGGGAAGAAAGATGGGTGAGGAAAGGATGCCAACATTGGATTCCGACGTAGAATCCTCCCACCAAGCTTCCTCTTCAACCAAAAAATCAGAGGTCCATCTCGTTCGATCTGCTGTTTCGATTCCTCTTTCGCCACCTCTGATGAATGTCGTTTGGGTTCTTGCGATGAGGGTTTTGGGATATTTGTGATGGGTTCTGGAGATGGGGTTCTGGGTTGGTTATTCTGGATCTGAAATCAGTATTTCCTTTTGTTTGTTGCATGCCACCGCTCCAGCAATGGTAGTAGAGAAATCATCGCTTACGAAGATCAAGTGAGCCCCTACCGTGATTGACGATGAGAGACGGTGGAGATTCGATTAATCGTAGCTTCTCTCTCTGGGTTGTCCATTCCTCTTATGTTCAACGCCATTAAAACTGTCGAGTTTAACAAGTTCAAATCCCCGCAGCAAAGAGAAGGAAATGGGCAAGGGAATTTTGATTTACACGGTGACAAGAAAAGGCGGAGGGAGTTCTCAGCAGCCGTGATGGGGCTTTGACGATAGACACACAATTTTTTGCTTTCATTTTTCTTCCTTTTTTTTGCTTCACATGCAAAGCCCGACGAAGACGATCTGATGCGGCTTTTATATATACTAGTAATTAGCCCGCGCTCTGCCGCGGGATAAGTTTGATTTTATAATCATTTGTCAATGAAATGCAAAGGTTGTAAGAACAAACACATGGAAATAGCTAAATTGGTATTTGTTACCACATTAACTTAATTATGCAAAATGGGTCTACATGTTGATCCAACAATGGCCGCATAATGTAGTGTTCAGCATCCATGCATAGACACACAGAGGTACTTTACAAAACGACCAATGGTGTCACAAAATGAGGTGGTTCAAACTGCAAAAGAGTTTCCACACAACAAAAGTATATAAGCATAAATTGTTAGATTATTCCTGCAGAGTTAGATAAGATGGTCTGTGAATGGACTGTCGCTAGTGTGCATAATCATTTGTCAAAGGATGAGTTGTTCCATAGCGTGGCAACTCTAATGTGTGGTGCAGAAGCTGAATTCTGGTATTTCAGATCTGCAGCAGGATACGTTTGATTTGTGTAATGTAATCCGTTGTTACTGTAATGCAAAGCTTGAAAGAATACACAGATGGAAACAACTATTTTTCCATATTTAATTACTGACCACCAATGTCATGACGGACCATATAACTCAACCACACACAATGGGAATACATGTTGATCCAACAATGGCCACATGCATCCACGCATGAACACACAGAGGATGACATTATGAATTTTACAAAATGACCAAAGGAATCTGTAACACCCTACCCTATACGTTTTGCCTAATCATATTATTCATACAATTGCAGCGGAATTAATCTCGGGTGTTACATTAATTATCAAAATTTACCTAAATAAAATTTCTACATTAATTACTCGCGTAATGGGCTAACAGTTCTTCCAACTAAAACCTGCAAAATAATTTATCTGAATCCATGCATTCAATGACAAACATATATACTCACAACCATATACATGGACTTTTATAGCCATAGTTACAGTTTCATACTACACAACTGCATACCAAACTTATACATACCATAATCGTCACAACTTACATAGTTACACAACATATACACATATCATCAACTTTCCACACCTGTGGATATCTCACACTACATCAGAAGCTAGTATGCACATGAAAAACGTTCTCAAAACATTTTTACAAAAAGGTGTGGATCACTGGCCAAAATCCCGAGTAGTAGTCCAAGCACCGAATGGTTGAAGACCATACCTCATTTTGCCTTCAACTCTTGCTCAGCTCCCACCTATACACCTATCTATTGCTGCTGATGATCTGCTTACACATGGCATAAGCAGAGAAGAAGAATAAAAGAGGGTCAGCTCATAGCTGAGTGAGATAATCATAGCATCGTGAGTTCATAACATAGCATACCACTACCATACATCTAGCAAACAAGCCAAAGCACTAGGATCGGACCTCAGCCATCCTCATATCCCAATAGGCAAAAGACTCAACCACCTTGACTTATGCATATGCATCTTATCATGTTTTACTTATAGGCGCCTGGCTACTCCCATGCTAATAACTCTCCCGGGAAACATACCCCACATCCCGTCGGATGTAGTCATACATACCCCAACATCCCGTCGGATGTGGTCATACATACCCCACACCACTATGGGTGTAGTCATACCTCGACACCGCTCTGGGTGTGGTAATATCTCATAAGAATTCTTCAGTCACCACCACATGAGAGGTGTGACTATCATACATATCATAATAGAGTAATAGCACAGGGAGCCCTAATTACTATGTAGTTGACCGTGAGACCACAACACTCATATTTGGTATCCTTATACATGATTCATATCTCATCTTGCTTAATCATAATTCATTACTTGCACATGTACTTGACCTGACCATAATTGGCTCAACATAGGTAAACCAGGAGTCGTATAGTTGCACTTCCTCGGGATAAACCCTCGTGCAAGTCATCCTCCTTAAAACATCATAATATCACCCTGGGAAGTTTATTTTCCCCACTTGTGAATCCAAATACAACCACAATATCACATCATGTCAAAACACCTGATCGAACAACCATGAAGTCATATCAACAGTTAAGCCACAAATGGCAACATGTATGCAATCATCAGCATAGACAAGGTCCATATCGATTAGGGCAAGTCAATAATATCATACAGCAGTCCAGGGTTCAACATATAGCACAAAAGCTCATACACCCCTAATCATGTCATTCTAGTTCACCTAGATCAAATCTAAGCATCAATATAATTATCGTGATACGACAAACCCGGTATGCCGTGCTAATCCCTCACCAGTTCTGGTCGTTCAAACACCGGTTTAAGCTTCCCCGTACTAAAACATCAATTCCACGAACGAACCCCGAATTAAAATCCGAGACCGTCCTAATATCCCCTGCAGTATCCCCGTCGATATTAGTTCTAGGCTCCGGGTCAAATTCTCGATAAAAACACATCAAACCCTGGCCGGAGCTAAATTCAACGGTTTGGACCCCGGCCTAAATAATTGCCGAAATTCAGGGATTAGAACTAGGGGATTGATTACCTCGCTGCAGGAAGCTCGTATATGAAATTTGGGCACAATCCGGCTTCCGGATACTCCGAAACCCTAATTTGGCTTATCGGGAATTCAAGAAATTCCTGAACCAAAAACTCGTTTTAAAGCTCTAAATCGATAAATCACGATGAATAGATGAATTAGGCATTACTTACCGGATTTTTGGATCAGTAGGGCTCAAGATTTTGAGCTTGGAAATTTCTCCCGAGCTCCCCTGTTCGCTCTGCTCGGCTCGCTGTGCTCTCGGTTTCCTCTCGGTGGGGAAATGGGAAAAAAGTTGATGATGGGTATAAATGACGGGTGGGGATTAATATATATGGCCGCTATGTAATTATATATATATATATATATATAATAAATTATATATATAATTAATACGTATATTTATTCGATCGATTGATAATCCGATTTTCGCCGAAATACAATCAAAACGCTCAATTTTAAATCGCGAACTTTCTAGCGATCGCAGTGTTCAATAAGACGCGCCTAGGCGCTCGCCTAGGCGCGATTAGTTGCTGGGCATGGAGGAAACGTGGAGTATTGGGCTGGGCGATTGAGCTGGGCGTACAAAACGCAGAAGCGAGCGGCAAAACACCTAGGTGGCGGTTCTGCGCGGGTAAGCTCGCTTCCCATCCTTTGGGCGACGCCCAGGGTTGGAAAATAAGGGCAAGTTTATCTGGTTTTAACCCGAAACCCATAACCCTACATAGCCCATTTATTTCATTCGACAATTCTGGGAAAGGAGACACTACCAGCCAGCCACGCGAGAGAGAGACCAGCAGCCACGACATCGTCGTTCTCCAAGCAAGCGAATAGCGTCGCCGTCCTCCATGCGAGCGACCAGCGCCACCGTCCTCACCGTCAGAATCGCCATCGACCAGCGCCGTCGTCGCCCGTCGTCCTCGTTGGTCGTCGTCGCCATCTGTCGTCGTTCGTCTCTCCATCTGTCGCCATTCGCCGTTGACGGCCAAGTGAGAGTGGTTTGGGATTCGAGGGAGGGAAAGGGGAAAGTTGGTTATATATGAGGATAGTCGATTGATTGATGGTAGGGATGAGAGAGTTAAAAAGAAAGAACAACAAATTCGAGGGAGGGAAAGAGGAAAGTTGGGTGCGACCATTGGTATAATTATATCTGCTTCTTCAAGGGATGTTATCTGTTTGTACTTTGTAGAGTGAAATGTTTGTTCAAGGGCTGCTGTCTGTTTGTAGGGTGAAATGGATTGATATATAATTATATGTATATGAGTGATGCCTCTCAATTTCGTTTGCTTAAAGGCTGTTGTCTTGTGATTGCAGTGAACTTTATGACTGTTATGTTTGATCTTGCATGTTAAACTTAAATATATATCTTATTTTTTTCGACGCTTAATCTCGCCTAGGCAGCGACTAATCGGCCTGGGCGCTGGGCGGTGCCTCCTCGCCTAGATGACGCCTAGCGTCTTCTTGAACATTGAGCGATCGAAATATGGATTTTGCCGGAATGGGACGTTACAGAATCACAAAATAAGATCGTTCAAATTGCAAAAGAGTTTACATACGGCAAAAGCATATAAGCATAAATTGTCTGATATTGGTTGGGAGACAGGAAAGTCAGTGAGATGGAAAAGTTGATCAAGAAAAATGCTTGTACCGTTAGATAAGCCGATTTGTAAATGGAGTGCCATAAATGCGAAGGATCATTTGTCAAAGGCTGAGCTGTTCCATAGCTAATCACCTTCTCTGATGGAGATTTCAATGATATGGCACACTCAACCAGTCCAGCCTAGTAGCTGCAGATCTGCAAGTGTAAAGGAAGGAAAAGGAATCACTAATTAGATATCCTGAAACATAAAGCAAAAAAAGCTGAGATTGAAACCTTGAAATCCCTTGAAATCCTACAATTGAAGGGTGGAAAGAAAGAATGCAAGAAAGAGAAGGGCCAATAACTTTATGATTCCAAGAGGTGTACCATAGACAAAAATCAGTAGAGATTTGTCAGAAACCAAATCAAATTATCTTACCATCTAACATATGCAAAACATACATACTTCTTTCTTATCGACATACAAAAATTTGTTGCTCTTACCAAGCTAGCGCAATCAAGGCTCGCCATTCACCAGCAAAACTATAGGATGTATTAACTTGAATTAATGGCACCTTCCAGAACTTGCTTTGTTTCTTCCTTAACTCCATCACAGTTGAATAGTAATTTCGAGTCTGTATGACTATATGAACTTGCTTTATGTCAGGAAGCACCACATGAGATTTATCTGAAGACGTTCAAGAAAAAGAAATCATGATGTTAGTTGACCACCCACAATTACTGGAAGTCCACCAAAAAAGAACATGAAACTATGATCAAAACCAGCAAGATGAGTATTAACTAATACTCATCTCTCTTGAATCATGAAAGGATACCCAAAATATGCTATTTATACCAGAGACTAAATACCAACACTAATTTTGACTACTGTTATGAACTGATGGAAAATCCATCCTATACATAACAATAACAAATAACTATGGAATAGTTCGAAATCGATAGATTACATGTTGGAAGCTTATGAGTTAATATTTACCAATGAAAGGAGGAAAGTGAAACAAATGCAAACAAATTGCAAGAAATCACACCCATAACAAAAGGGTTCCTTCCCAACACTTGTCTGCCCACAGCAAGTAATTCACATGATCCAAAAACACATCGGTGGAAAAGGAAATAGAACATTAGAATTGCATAACCCAAAGAGCGTGACTTATCAAAAGGTGAATCTTGAACTCGTAAGTATTTGAAACAACTAATTACCCAAAAAAATCCTAGGTGAAATGCTCATAAATCATCCATCATGCAAGAGGACAACAAAATAGCCCGCAAAGCTCTGAATTTCTAACACCCAAAAACTTGATAACAGCTCACCAAATTTTGATAAAGTGCCTTTGATTTAGCACACTCCAAAACATGAATAAAATGAGAAAGATATAATTGAGACTCAAAAAAAGAAGATGAGGAATACATGTTAAGTAACTCCTGCCCTGGATCCGAACCCATGATCACTTGAGCTTCCCCTCTAAGTTCTATCATATGCGGAGTCATCCAATTAATCTCTACAGTTTGTAAAATCTACATTCGGAATAAAAAAGTACAGGAAAATCATATTAACAGGATTTCAATAAGAAAACAAAGGAATTAAGAAAGAACCTTAATTCTAGGAAAAGGCTTCGAAAGTTCCTACTCCATGGCATCCAGGGCTCATAAACATTGGTATGGTGATCGATTTATGAGTTATTAAATACCTCCCCACATGAATCACCAAGTTATAATTCAATTGCTCTTCGCATCAAAGCAATCCTTGGAGTATGTTGCCCTCTGACTGGAGTTCAGACGACTGCCGCCGATGTTCGAATCTCAAACACGTAATGCATCACCGATATTTTCCCTGGACAGGAGAAAAACACTGTAAAACAGAGAAGGATCCATCCATGAACAGAGAGATTAACCGTCAAAAACTAAAACAGAACCTACGAATCAGTGTGAACACCATTAGAACTCAACAATCTAATGGTCCCGCAGCCTTTCGCTGAGATTCGACTCTCAACTCAGCTCTCAGAAAATCCTATCAACGAACCCAAAGCCAGAATATTGTCAGAAAACAGATGAAACAGATTCTTCTGAGGCAGAATGAGAGATACAAAACCATTCGGGAAAAAAAATAGAAAACAAACTAACCCGGAAAGTTGGTGCTCTTCGGTGTCTAATCAAACCGTCAAAGTTCCGAGAAGAGAGGGAGAGAGAAGAACGATGATCACCGGCAGGTTCTCGGCGATCCCCATCCCGTCAATCACCTCGATTTCGCCAGAAAAAATCAAAGGCCAAGAGAATCAGCATGCTGTGGCTTGAGAATCGGCCCCGCACCATCTTCGAATCTCCTCTTTGTCGGAGATGGATCCTCACAACCGGCGGGTGATCGACGATTCCCTGGTCGCTGACAATTACCTCGCCTTCGAGATGAGAGAGAGACCATCTCCGAATCTTCTCTTCGTCGATGAAGGACGCTCAAAATCGCGGGTTATCGGTGATTCCCTGTCGGCTCGCAACTACCTTGCCTCCGAGAGAGAGAGAGAGAGAGAGAGAGAGAGAGAGAGAGAGAGAGAGAGAGAGAGAGAGAGAGAGAGAGAGAGAGAGAGAGAGGAAGAGATGAGGTGAGGTGAGAATGTATTGTTGTTGAGAGAGAAATCGAATTATGAGTAAGGAATGGGAGAGAAGGAATGGTGTCTGGTTTCTTATTTGCCTTTAACCATCTCTCCTATTGACCGAAGGGTTGAATCACCTCCATCGGACACCGCGCCTGGTGGTGGGAAAATGGTCACTCAACTTCCTTGCAGGCCAGGTACAGACGGCAGCGGCCATCATCACGCAAAAGACCCAACTCGTCCAAGGGCCGCTCAACTTCTATGTGAAGGATCGCAATACTCGAGAAACCCTTGGGACACAAAGACCTTCACTCTTTCCAAACCTTCGCCATCATCACCAATAATACCATACAGTGGATTTGAGGCCGACGCGAAACTCGAAGCCCCAACACAAGAAAAGGAAGGTGCAAAGGAGCTGTAAATTGGCGGCGAAGCAACCAGCAATTCCTTTGGTTAACATCAGGGCCCACGACAGACAGCCAACCAATCGAAAGAAGGTTAATAATAATTTTGAGTCTGTATGAATAGTAAAATGTTTCTTGCGCTATAGTGATCGACGTTAGTGGAAATAATTTTTCTTAATTTTCATTTTTTCCAACACAATCCGTCGGGATTCTCCTGGTTAGGGAGCAAGTACTTGACATCGAAAATAGGGAGGCTAGAGCTCGGAGACGAGAATGGAGAAGGTCGTCGATTGGTGGACGATGACCACCCGGGTCTCTCAACAGAGGAGATTATTGTACGGGCTGACAATTATTTTGTAATTTTATTAAATAATTAATATGATAATTCATATAGACAAATTAGGTGGAATGATGAGGTGGAATAATAAATTTATGTTTTAGTTTATTTTAATTTTCACGTCATCTAATTAACTGTCAAATTTTATAGTTGACTACCACGTAGGGCAAATTTAACGGACTGTAATGGCTGGTGACTAACGGTGAAACGATTCATAAAATTAGTGGTTGATAAGAAATAAAAGTCATTCGGGTGGAAAACGTGAAAGATTTGTTTAATTTGAGTGACCAAATATGTAATTTAGCCAAAAAAATATATAATATATTATATTGATTGATTAAATGAGTCTTAAGTGCATGTTATTCCAGAATAGGTTAAAGTGTTCCTATGGATTTGAAAGCCAAGCTCAATTATTTATATTTTTCATAGTATACTCCCTTTAAGTTTGACAATTTTGACCTCACATGTTTTAACCGGCCCCTAAGTGGGGCATGGGGTCATGTGTACTCTCCTTGACCTGACCTATCCTGACTCGTCCCATACTTGACCCGTCTTTGCCTAAATTATATGTAATTTTAATTTTATTACCTCATATTTTTGTTATAATGAAGTTGTAAATAGGTGAGAACCTAAAAAATTTCGAATAATTTAACTACATTTATCATATTTTAGTTAATTTCTTAGTTTTAATGAAAAAGTGATTATTTCTATTTTTTCCTTTTACATTACATACTCATATGGATAAATCTGGCCCGACTAATGCCCTATGATGAATTACCCGACTTGCCACGAGATGGATATAGGTATCAAGATACCTCGGAACTACCCCATTGTCATTTCTACGTCCAAGCCAGAGACCTAACTCAATTAAGCTTAGATATAATATTTTCTTTAATAATTGTAATCTAAAGTTTATGATATAATATTATAAAACATAAGAATGAAATGATAGTCTATAAAACTTTAGGGTGCACCTATGGTGCCTTGCAAGTGACCGTAACTTGCACTTTTCGGTCGACCTCAATTAGGATTAGGTCGACCTAATCTGTTGTTTCAGTGTAAAAACAGTTGCATGGTGCCTACATTGAAGGTTCATATCTTACAATCGGTTCGATGAAAATTGGAAATTAATGGCTTGTTTTGAAACTGGAGTGTCCCTCTACATATTGAAGTGCTTGGGAGCTCGATAGGAAGTCCAGAAGACCATTTTTGAACCTGAGCCAACGGCTATGCAAAAACTAGGAAACTACCTGAAAATCACTAAGCCTGGGAACGTGTTTGTGAAGCCTACTTTGGAGCTCAATTCGAGAAGCATGGATGGGAGTCGAGTCCAGGGGTCTCTACCACATGAAAGTAGGTATGTTTGTCTACAAAGGGAAGGCATTGGATGAAAGATTTGATATCTGGAAGGCTTCAAACAAAAGGCTCAACGTTGCTACGAAGGCTAGGAAAGACATACCTACTATCACGTGGTAGAGGCTCCTGGACTTGACTATCATCCATGCTTCTCGAATTGAGCTCTAAAGTAGGCTTCACAAACACGTTCCCAAACAACCATTTTCATGCAGTTTCCCAGTTTTGGCATAACCTTTGATAAAGTTCAAAAATGTTCTTCTAGACTTTCTATCGAGCTCCCAAGTACTTCAATGTGTAGAGGGACACTTCAGCTTCAAAACAAGCCATTAATCTCCAATTTCCATCGAGCCAATTGTAAGATATGAATCTCCAAAGTAGGCACCATGAAAATGTTTTTACACTGAAACAACATATTAGGTAGACCTAATACTAACTGAGGTCGGTCGAAAAATGTAAGTTAGGGTGACTTGCAAGTCACCGTAGAAAAGTCCAAAACTTTAATATGATTCATGTGGTAAAAGTTTAACGTTGAAACTAATTTTTTAAAAATTTATAGATGTGTCAGGTCATACATATTTTTCAGTAGGTAGGTCATACATATTTTGAATCAAATACATAATGAGATAGTAATTCTTTATCGAGATTGAATCAATTTTGTGACGATATTGATATTAGGTGACAAACATATATAATCATACATACAATTATGGATTACCGCAAGGAATATGTATGAACCAAAAGAGAAGCTCAAAAATTATTTGAGATAAATCTATATAAGATATTAATAAATAAGTACAAGAATAAAAATTCATTGGCCATTAATATTGGGCAAAATATACTTTCATATCCATAACTATTCGTTTTGTGATAAATATAGTCAAATTTTGAAAAATACACTCGTATAGCCACTTTTGAAAACTTGCTTGGAAAATTTAGTCATTTCCGTTACAAACTTGAACGAAAAGATAAACGTCGTTAGTAACCCTTTCGTCAGTAACCCTTTCTAGGACGGAGTTGAACCTAGGCAGACAATTTTGTGGTTGCCCTCATTGGATGGTAAGCAAATCATAGTTTGGATGAAGTTTTCTATGATGTATTGTGGCTAAGGAATTACAATGTTGCAGGATCCGAAAGGTGGGTGCAATTTTTTTCGGTGGGTGGAATCCAATTATGATGTAACAGAGGCAAGAAACAGTGAGGTTGACTGTATGATGATGAAGTTGGAAGAGAGCTTAAGCTTGGCCGAATCAAAGGCAGTGAGGAGGAAGAAGGAAAACAAACTTCTGAAGGAGCTACGCAATTGGATGAAAGTTCAGAAAGACAGAATAGCTGAAGCTCGGAATTTGCATCATGAAATGGGAATGATGAGATATATGCTCAGTTTTTCTTGGTTCTGAATGCCTTACCGGTTGTAGTTTTGTGGAAGCAGCGAGTTTGTAACAATGGTATGTAATGTGTAATCGGTAGCAAACAATGGTAGCATATTGTGTTTTGTTGGCGGGTTTAATCTTGAAATTGGAATGTAATGTGTAATCTATAGCTTCACAATGATAGGATATTGTGTTTTATTTGCAAGTTGAATATTAAAGATGGTATGTAATGTGTAACCCTGAGTAAACAATGTGTTGTCTTTCCAAAAGATAACCTGGAACAATAGATTGGAACTTCATCCTTGCAAAAGATAGGGCATCTACAATAGTGCCCAACAGCATGTTTCAAGGTTGAACATCAACCTAACATAGAGAGTTTCCTTCAGCTACACCTAAAATAGCAACCTAAAACTAAACATAAATCGTCTTAACCGAGTTACATGAGTCTACCAAAATAGCCACTACCAAGGTCATTGTTAGTGCTAGTACAAAAACACGACTCATGATTGCATAAACTGTCTTCTAAGGTTGTGTTGGTGGCGGATGGCTCCCTTGCAGATCCACCTCAGTAAGTTGAGTCAAGCGAGCTGGAGGACCAATTCCAACATACTTCCCATTTGCCCCATTCAGCTGCATGCAAGAAGCAAAATTATTAATTCATGAGGACACTTGTTATCGACAAAGAAAACTTGGTTTTACTGATCGCATGTACTCACCCTAACATATTGATTACCAGTGTTCTCATAAACTTAAACACCAACTCCTCTTGTTGAATGGCGAAGCTCCCTTTCAATCGTTACACGATCGCCAACATTCAACCTCACATCCTAAATGTAAAACAATTCAGTAAATTTAACATTCATCTACATCATTCAACCTATGATTTCATCTACATCCTATCCTAAACACTTACTTGTATCCCCACGCCCCTGGACAACGGGCATGTCCTTGCATTGTGTGTGGCAGAGCCACACTAGGAGTAGTGGTTGCCTCTCCTCTGCCTTGGTGGATTGTCACTCTGTGGAGCAGTAGTGGCAGCAACTCGTCTTCTTGTCCTGTGTGTGTTCATTCCCTTCAATCATACAAAAGAACCATGTATTAGTTGGATAGGAATAAGCTAATATTTTGAGGGAGAATGTAACTAAAAGTAAGTTGTTATACCATGTTTCAAGCATCAATAGCAACAGCAGGTGCTGGGCATGCCCTTGCATTGTGCCCTTCAGCTCCACATTTGGAGCAATGGATCAGGTTGCCCCTCCTAGTCACTTCTTCACCAACCCTTTTTTCTATGATCTTGTTTCCAACTCCACAACTGCTTTTCTTCTATTCTTTTTAGGATGGTCTGACATTGGTATGTCTCTAGGAGGGTATACATCAAACCCAACAACATCAGGCCATGCTTTTCTCCCATCAAGACAAAGGCAGTCCAACCTTGTAGCAAACCTCCACATTCACCACTAGGTAAGAAGGATGCATGTAATCATCCATATCCTTCCTCAAATGGATGATTGTAGAAACTGCATGGCAGCATGGCAACCCACTCAACTGCCAATAACCACAGCTGCACTCGTTAAGATTGAGGACTACTATGTAACCTTAAGCTCCCATCTTGACTTCACATCTCATATTCTGTTCATGCCTAGCTACACATAGCCTAGCAAACTCTTTCTCCTTCTCCAAACTTTTCCTTACTCTCATACAAGATACAACACATTATACTTTATCACCACTCTCTCCATACCCCATAATCCCTTCCAGTATGTCTATAATACAAAATCGTCTATACTTCACAATGCTGCCATTCCATGTCTCACATATGTTACTCTCGACACTATCACACTTAGGACCAGTAGACAAGAAAGCTCTCCAAAATCGTCTCGGTTCAGCATCCATAAAGTCCTTAAATGGGGTAGGTCCATCTCCATTACCTTGAATAGACTCCATCTCTTGACTGACCTTCTTCCACTCAACCTTATTGCACGCATACACCGCCTTCCAGAATAATTTTCGAATTCGGTCAGTCTTGTTCTTGGCTTTCTAGTTGGCATACACATGCCTAGCACATTTTCGATGGTCAGCTTCCGATAGAATTTCGTGTATAGCTTCAACGAGGCCTTACACAAGTGAAAATGCATTAGTTTACAAACCATGAATAAGATGTTAAAGAAATACACAAAGCCTATTATATCTTCTGCTGGTGCGATATAACCGTCCACTCCCTTCCATCCATTAATCCCAGTTCTTTAGTTAAAATTGTAACAAACCATGTCCAAAAGTTGGTATTTACCCCTTCTACAATGTCTAGGCAATTGGAAACATCTGGTTGTTTCCATCTTTACCAACTGCCGTGAGAAGCACCCCTTCGTCCTCCCCGTTGTCAGAGTCATCTTCTTCGAATTCCTCAATCCGGTCTACCTCTTCACCACCAGCAACCACCCTTGTCGCCAGTTTCCTTTTCCTCCCTTCACCATATGCATGTAGATTAACTCTAGCCTCATGATTTTCATCATCTGATGTCATGGCGTCATCAGAGTCATAAACATGATAGATATCAGGCGCAACCGATGCAACCCCAATATTGTCTGTGGCTAGCGAAACCTCATCATGCCCAATCTGATTTGGGTCATTCTCGTCTACCAATTCATCCCATGAGTCTGCCATCTAATAAGATAACAACCTTTTTGTCATTATATACTATATAATTACACAATTAATATTTAATTAGCCCTAATTGCAACCAACCTAATGCTTAAGAATAAACAAATCGCACACAACAAACTCGCCACTAATGAATTGCGATTCAAATCAACCATTTCAAAGCACATAATTCATCACATCAAATTAAATATTGTATCCAATGTCTTGAACTTCGTATCGTATGATTCAGGGGCAATCTCGCCACAAAGAGAAGATGTGTGGTCCTTTCACGAACTTGTTGTGTTGCTTTCCAAGCTTTACAGATCGTCAACACCTATAAATAGATACCAATAAATGCACTTTAATCAACCTCATTCCAACAATAGCAATCAAACACTACAACCTCACGACATGCGCACTCACCAGCCACCACAATCCAATTAGAAAAAAGCCTCAAACGCGAATATGAAATTAGGGTTAGCCAGGCTCGCGTCACGATTCTGGGTGGGACGATTCAAGTGACGGGTGCGACGAAGACCGGGTGCGACAAAGGATTAGGGTTCGTCGCCGTCATCTATTCATCAGCCGGATGATGCATGGTTTCCTCTGCCCAAACTTCACCTGAGATGGAGGAGCGGTATGGGGAGACATCGTTCACTGGCTCGACGGATGGGTGGATCGAGGTGTGATCTTCGATCGATTGACTTCGTCGATCTGGAGTGATGGGGGAGTTGTTTCACTGGGAGAAGAAGGAGAGAAGAGAAAGGGTAAAATTATATCGAAATGGTCAATAGAGTCGAGTAATTGGTAAAGTTATTTTTAAGGTTTTAACCTTTTTTTAAGTAATGAAATTAGAAACACTTTCCACTTGTCCTGCCACATAGATGAACCTCGGCCACGTTTTAAACATCCATTAGTCCAGCCAACAATCGTGAGATTCTCGATAAAGTTCATGACGAAATGGCTATACGAGTGTATTTTTCAAAAATTTGCTATATTTAACACAACGGTAATAGTTATGACTATTAAAGTATATTGTGTCAAAAGTTAGATGAAACTATTGTGGTCTCGTGCTATGAAATATAAACCCAATTTTTATGATTACAAATAAATTACATTAACATAAAATATTAACTAATTAAAAATTATTTAATTATTTTGTTAAATAACAATTATTAAACAATATCCGGTCATTGGCAAGACATAAAGCTAGTTATTTATATTTTCCATAGTCCCTCCAAGCCAGAGACCCAACTCAATTGGTGAACCAACAGTCACCATGATATACCAAGCCAATTTGGGCTGGCTGAACACCCTCCTCCTCTTACTTCTACAAAATTTGTAGAATATATAAATGCAACCCAGTGATTGAAATTTTCACATTTCAAATTTCATGGCCTGAGAGTGATACTAGAAAGGTCGTGGCCTAAGAGTGATTCTAGAAAGATCATTTTTTCATTGCACCCAATTCATCTTTATATATTAAAAATGATATCATTGGAGTTCGAACCTTGTTTGCCACTTAAATTTATATATTAATTATCATTGGAGTTCGAACCTTGTTGGTCACTTAAATAAAGAAAGAGCATCACAACCAACTATGCTACATTGTATTTATTGTTATTTCGTTGATTAAACTCTACGAATATGTTTGGTGATGATGATTCTATATTTATATTTTATCTTAAGTTATTTATATTTTATAGAAAGATTAGTTATGAAAATCGGAAACTCAAGTAATATTGATTCAAACGTTAATATTAAATTATATGTGTAGTTTAGTTTGGATAAAATACAGAAGTGTAACCAAAACATGGACCTTTGACGAGTATAGTCATTTTTTGTGACAAATCTACGCATAATATATAATGATAAAATTGGAAAATGAGAGTCTCATTTCAAATTTCATGGCCTGAGAGTGATTCTAGGAAGTTATTTTTCATTATAGCGCCCAATTTATCTTTATATTATATGTAGATTTGTTACAAAAATTACTATATTTGTTACAAAGATCCATGTTTTGGCTACACATATCGATTTGTCTAAACTAAATCACACATACAATTTGATATTAATATTTAAATCAATGTTACTTGAGTTCCAATTTCATAATTAATCTCTTTCTATAAGATATAATAATTTCAGGTAAAATACTCTTCCTACTTGGTTGAGGAATCTCTTTCTATAAGATATATTCAATGTTTTAAGACTTTCCATTTCAAATTTCATGAAATGAGAGTGAAAATATGAAGAGTATTTTTTTCATAATAATTATTTATCTACTTCATATAAAAAAGTATCAATATCAATATTTAAACCATGGTCTGTTTAAACTAAAACAATAATCACAACCAATTAAGCTAAAAAAATTATTTTATTTTCTTCAATTGTAAACATACACTAAGCGAAGATTTGAAATGTAGAGAACTTTTCCATCACGGTTAGATAGCCTATTAAATCTTCTGAAAAGCAAATATTAATACGTGATTTATAATTTTTTATAACCTATAAAATTGCAACACAAATTTGGTTGCTTGAAATATTGCATATCGAATTGCAGTATTGAATATGCAAAAGTGATGTAAAATTATTTTAATTAATATAAATTTTAACAACTACTACGAAGCAATAATATTTTGTGCAAACTTTAGGTGACTGGCTCTCTAAAATTTTAGCATGGTTAACTGCTAAACGTTAAACTTCTTGCTTATCTAGCTTGAATGGACCCGAAAATAATGAGACGATATTGGGTTTAATGTGATGTTCATTTTGACAATTTTGGAGGTGTTGATCAATTTATAGGGCATTAACTTATAAATGAGTTATAATTAACCTCATTATACAACTTTTACTCTTTATAGTAATTAATTTAATCTTAATATTTTTATTTTTGAAATATTTTATGTACAATTTAGAGGTATACCTATTATTTGTGACATTAGTGGTAATTGGTTCAAATGTAGTATTTCATCAGGAAGTCAAAATTGAATACTGGTGCATTTATGACTTTTTTTAATCTTTGTGTTGTGAATAGGTAGAAACTTAGAACTTTGCTACGGTGACATGCATGTCACGGTGACATGCACTTTTCGGTCGACCTCATATAGGATTAGGTCTACCTAATATATTGTTTCAGTGTAAAATCAGTTTCATGGTGCCTACTTTGGAGATTCATATCTTACAATTGGCTAGATGGAAATTGGAGATTAAAGGCTTGTTTTGAAGCTGAAGTGTCCTTCTACACATTAAAGTACTTGGGAGCTCAATAGAAAGTCCAGAAGACCATTTTTGAACCTGACCAAAAGGCTATGCCAAAATTGGGAAACTGCCTGAAAATGGCTAAGTCTGGCAACGTGTTTGTCAAGCCTACTTTGGAGCTCAATTTGAGAAGCATGGATGCGAGTCAAGTCCAGGGACCTCTACCACGTTAAATTAAGTGTTTTATTATACAAAGGCAAGGCATTGGATGAAAGATTGAATATCTTTAAGGCTTCAAACAAAAGGCTCGAAGTTGCTACGAAGGCTGTTTTTCTGGCAGCTTGCTTGTGCTCGAAGTCTGCCAGAAAAACAGCCTTCGTAGCAACTTCGACCCTTTTGTTTGAAACCTTACAGATATCCAATCTTTCATCCAATGCCTTGAATTTGTATAAAAACATACCTAATTTAACGTGGTAGAGACTCCTGGACTCGACTCGCATTTATGCTTCTCGAATTGAGCTCCAAAATAGGCTTCACAAACATGTTTCCATACTTAACCATTTCCAGGCAGTTTCTCAGTTTTGGCATAGCCTTTTGATGAGGTTCAAAAATGGTCTTCTAAACTTTCTATCGAGCTCTCTTCCACTTCAATATGTAGAGGGACACTCCAGCTTTAAAACAAGTCATTAGTCTTCAATTTTCATCTAGCCAATTGTATGATATGAATATCCAAAGTAGGCACCATGAACTATTTTTACACTGAAACAACAGATTAGGTCGACCTGATCCTATATGAGGTCGACCAGATCTTATATGAGGTCGACCGAATTGTAAATGAGGTCGACCGGAAAGTGCAAGTCACCGTGACATGCATGTCACCGTAGGCACACCCAGAAACTTAATTACTATAATGCATATAACTATACCTAGACACATGGTCGAGCTAGCATGACACAGTTAGAGCATACCATGAAGACAATGTATAGGGATCGATCCTGTACAAACATTAATGCTTCATGGGTCGTACCAGAGTTAAACTTCAATAGCTCACACATAAGTGTGAGTACCACACGGTCTATATTGGTAAACTCATGTTTTATGGAGAAATGTGTCATTTGATAAAAATAAAATAAAATATTCTAAAAATAACATATAAAATTTGAATTAATGAGTAGTTTTTCACATCAACGTGTGACCGCTCATATTCTAAAATGTTTATAAAATACATTCATTGTTTATTTTGAGAATCAAACCTTTTTCAATGTATACAATTAAACACTCATTTATAAAATCATTCTTCATTAACTTCATAGCTGAAAAGTCTTTTTTACAACTTGCAATAATAACAAACAACGTCAACAATAACTTTTGAAGCAAGTAAAGTGAAGAAGAAATTGGGATTTAGTATGCAATTGTGTGTGTGTGTGTGTGTTTGGGGAAGGGGGGATTTTTTTGGTCTAAAAAATTTGAGGAAGCGTTGAAACTCATATATCATTTGTTTGAATATTGCATATTGAATTGGAGTATTGACCATTTTGAAGTGATATATAATTCTTAAATTAGTATTAATTTTCAGTCCGGTTGACCAATAGCCTTAGACCTTTTGCTAATTTGACATGGATCCAATATTCATTATATGAGATTTAGTTCGATATGTCAATTCAATTTTTTAATGTGTAATAAATTTGTACGACAAATACATGGAAATAGGTGAAGGTGAACCTGATTATGCATTTTGATTCTTTAGATAAATAAAATGGTTTAAGCAATGAACTAACTATACACTCACTCCATTGGTTTAACGAGTTCTATTTTTATAACTTTTAGGAATTAGTTTATTCACAAGTTAGCATGGAAGGAAAGGAACAACAGAAGTTTCCATGATAAAATGTGTGGGTGGCAGGTGGTTTTCCATAAGATTTGAAGGACTTTACTAAGTTGGGTGAGAGTGACAGGCACTCTAAGTGATACGCATATTTTGTGCCCGCTGCAGAACCGAATTGTCTCTCGTTTGGATGCGACCTCCTTTTCTTCTGTCTCGGCAACCTCGTGATTTTCTCGGTCTCTTGTATTTTGTTACCTTGTTTCTCTGTTTTCTCCCGTTTCTGTTGCAGGAGCGGCCTGGCCCTTTTGTAGTTTTTTGTTTTGTTTTCCTTGTCGGATCATGCCTCTTGATCCGTCTGTATTGAACTCTTTTGTTTTTTGGTTTTATTTAATGCATCAATAGCCATTATAAAAAAAATGATGTTGATATGGCTGTAGTAGAATCGAGGCATAAGCTAACTATTCTATATCCTCCCGGTCCAAGTCAACACGAGATTGACTTCAGTAGCTTCTCAGTTGTGCTCTAATGATAGGTAGTTCTCGAGATTAATGGATAATGCGTTAATATGGAGGAGGGGAACGGATCAGGTCAGTAACTTTATGGTGAGTAACCATGAGTAACCCGTCCACATCAGCATGACATCAGCATTCTTCTCTCTCCTGGAAAGCCTTTAATTTTCCCCTCTTAATCTTTGACGGGTGATTTCTCACTAGTTTTAAGTTGAAATTTAATTTTTTTTTTTTTGCATAATTATATCGGATTAATTGTGGTCTTCATATGATATCCACTTAGATATATTTTTCGAACAAAAAAAAGAGCCATTTTTTACTAGTCTTTACCATATGGTATTGACTAGTATTGAAATAAGAGCATACCTACGGTTTGAAAAGCGTACCATGGTGGTATGAACAAACCAAGACTGTAGGATGGTTGAATACATGATAGTAAAAGTATATTAACTGTCATTTACAACTTTTAACATTGTGTACCACAAGATACCACCCCGTACCAGGGTGGTATTGTATGGTATTTTTTAGTTCTGTAATTTGTTTACCCAGAAATTTGTATATCCAATAGATCATGATGAACTCGTTTCTTCTGTGCAAACTTTTTCAAAAACGAATTAAAAACGAAGAAGATACCATATGGTATGCAGTTGGTACCGAGAG